CATCTGTGGTGCTTAGGTTTTTTTCTGTCAACTTGACCCAAGCTGGAGTCATCTGGGAAGAGGGAGCCTCTGCTGAGAAAATGCCTCCGTCAGACTGGCCTGTGGGAAGCATTTGGTTAATGAGAGATTGATAGGAGACAGCCCACCGTAGGCAATGCCACTCCTGGGAAGGTTGTTCTGGGTTGTATGTATAACAAAGCAAGCCAAGCTAGCCGTGAGGAACAAGCCAGTAAGCAGCATTCTTTATGACTTGTCTGTTTCAGTTCCTGCCTCACCCCTTCTCTGACTTCTCTCAGTCATAGACCGTGACGTGGAAATGTAAACTGGAATAAACCCTTCCTTCCCATGGTTGTTTTGGGTCAGTGTTTTAGCACTGTAACAGGAAGAAAACGAAGACTGCATCGCTGGCTGATTGTATGTCCTTATGTAGATATCACAAAGTATACTTACATCTCCATACACCTAGGTTGTATAACACACAGACAAAGACCCCCACTGTTTCCAGAAACAGTATGGACTTAAAAACTAAGATTAAGTCGATCACAACAGAAAATGATACACTTAAACAACTTGGTAAGCGTGAAATAAGTCTTCTGATAATATAACACCATATACTACATACACTGTACAGTAAACTTTAAATTTTTATTTATTTATGAGGGTAGGGCATGTGCCAGAGTGTGCATCTGGAGGCCAGAGAGCAAATTTTCTAGAGTTGGTTCTCTTCCAGCGTGTGGTTTCCAGGGATCAAACTCCGGTCACAGGGACTGGCAGCAAGTGCCTTTACCTACTGAGTCATCTCTCAGGCCCATAAACTTATTTTAATAAGTAAGAGTTTGCTCTAAACTAACAACAAATGTATATAGTAAATACTGACCAGCAGCATAGCCATTTAATCTCAAGCAGGGTGCACTGTAGGTGGCTATCTATTGGACAGACTTTTCTATGACTGGCAACATGGCATTTGGTATACCTGGATCAACACGACCTCAGCAGGGAGGCAGTAGACTAGACGCTGCGGTGGTTTTCAAAGCTCCACTGTAATTCTGAGATCATGAGGTCCACGAGGTCAGATAACCTTCCTTGATCATCCCGTAGCTGCATCCCTACAAGTCAGTGCACAACTCCCCAAGTAGCAGATGGTCAATAAGTATTTGTTAGCTGTCCAGTGCATAAGTGGAGGCGGTTGAAACGCTTTCACTTTGGCTCTGTGGATGTAAGCCTTCCTCTCCTCCTATTTTGCCATCACAAGCTGTGCCATGTTATGGTTCTACACACAGTGTGAGCAGCGCAATGGGAACCTTAGGCCCTGTGTATCACTCATTAATTCCTATACTCCTTGTTCACCTTCCCGTAAGATCTGGCAAACCATCTGGTAGTGAATCATTGAGTCATGGCGGCTGTAAATATGTTCGGGCCCAGCATGAACCCGGTGTGCCATCCAGCCAGTCTTCTGGCTGTCACAGAACTACCTCCATCCATTTCAGAAATATGCCTCCTGTAGAAATACGATGCTCAGCTGTCTGCATTTATGAGGCACTGAATCTTTCAGGACGCCTTCAATCAATAGAAAATAGACATTTTGTTCTTACCTGAAGGGAGCAGTGATGTGACGAGCTGTGGAGTCAGGAATCTGTGGAATAAGATGACTCTCTGAGAATTATTTTAACACAAATGAGCTGATTGGCTTTAAGAAGGATGACTTGCCGAACAATTAGACTTGATTGTAATGAAGACTGTGGAAGGCTTTTAAATACATGTTAGTCAAGGGGGACAGATGAGCAATGAGATATAAACAGGAAGAAACACACCCTGGCAGAGGTCACAGATGACATAATGTGAGGAAATATGGCCACATTAGCAAAACCCTTCACTCCCCTGGGAAAAGGTAGTCACGCTACCTGTATCTATTTGACATTCAGCCTCCAGTGCCTTGGCGCTCAGTCTTAGAAACACAGGCGACCTGGATCTTCCCCCATAGAGCTATGCCCCTTCCGTGGGTAGAGTCAGGTGCTGAAGCACAAGCCAAGGCCATCAGGAAACTACATACACCACAGAGCAAGACCCTCAGGGACACTGCCTGCCCTCTAGTCCCTCCTGGCAAATCTCAGCCTTGATCTAGGCTGTTTCTGCTGGAATTTATATAGTGTAAATTGGCTTTGAATTTAAAATCCTACTTCACCTCTGGAACTCTGAGATTACAAGTCTTCACCAACACATCAATTACTTTCTTTCGAATTTTAAAGAGGAGACTGAGGAACCAGAGACCTCTGAGAGACCGGGCATGAGTCTGGGACCTCTGTGGGAGTAGACCAGAGTCAGAGACTTTGCGGGACCCAGCCCAAGCCAGGGACCTCTGCAGGAGCAGACCCAGGTATGAGTCTGGGACCTCCAAGGAAGTAGGCAGGAACCAGAGATCTCTGCAGGTCCGGACACAAGTCTGGGACCTCTGAGGGAATAGGCCAGGGCCAGAGACCTCTGCGGGTCCTGGGTGTGAATCCAGAATCGCCAAGGGAGTAGGCCTGAGCTAGGACGTCTGCCAGAACCAGGCCCAAGATAGCAACCTCAGCAGAAAGAGCCCCAACCAATCAATCTCTGTGGGTGCAGGCCCGAACAACCCCTGGTATTACAGAGCAATCACCAGGAGCACAGAGCTACCTCCAGGAACACGGACAGAGTAACCATTGGGGTGACTGGAACCATGGCCCTGACTGCACCACACCAAATGGAGCATCCATCTGAGCCTTGGATCCACTGGCACCTGGAAGATTGATCACCAGAGTCACAGACAGCCCCAACTACACCACCCAGAGGAATAGATGGGTAGACATCTATGGATGGGGGAAGTCCTCTTTTTTTCTACAGTTCCCCAACCGTTTCTCACAAACAATCTGATGCTGGAGTCATAACCCACACTGGTCACTTGCTCTAACTCTGTTTACGCATTCTTCATCTTCACTTGGTCCACTCACTCTTCTTCCTGCTAGCAACATCCGACTGTACCAAGATTGCCAAAGTGAGCAAAGTGATGCTAGTTGAGGTCCCTGAGGCTACTAAGCAGTGATGTGCTGTTCAGCCTGAAGAAGTGGCTCTCAGAGTGATGTAGAATATTCAATGGTTTCCATGGTGCAAACACTCCCAACACACCATACTCAAACCACCATAAAATCTACCTATTTAGGGGAAATCCTTGGCAGTTTAACAAGTCGGTCACAGAATATTCCAACGCTGAAGAATCACCAAGATTTTTCTGCAGGAGTAATAATGGATTCTTGTGGAGGAATTTGCCCACTTTTTAGAAACAAAATTTTGATTTTTCTGAGCTATTTGTTGAATTTGTGAGTTAATGTTTAAACCTTACACTTCACCTACATACATCTCTTTACAAAGGTCAAGAATAATAACAATCTTTGTGATTTTTTTCTTCTGTTTATAACATGTATTAGCCCTCTATTCAGAAGTGTTACTTGAATGAAAAGTTGACTTTCTAGCAATCTGTATGTAAACACATGCCTACAAATATTCCTTCGCCCATTACACAAGTTGGTGGAACGTACATAGGAGAATTTATTCTCATTCCCTATGTCCAGTCTCTTCCTCCCAGCATTCAGTTCTGTTTTCTTCACCTATGTAAGTTCCACCCTTTCAACTAGGCCAAGGCAGTTTTTTTTATTCATTAACCAATAAAGCAATATACAAAAAAAGGAACTCCAACACCATTTCCCCTTTTCTGTTTAAACAAAAAGGAAGGCTTTAGCTTTAACATAGTAAAATTACATATAACAAAACAGTTATCAAGCAAGAATTACAGAGAAAATGGCTTGTTTGATGGCAACGTGGACTGGCCGTCGCCCTTTACTCACAAACCCCATCCAAATGCTTGGTCTCCCTAAAGAGTCAGAGGTCACGCTAGCAGCATAGCCCAAAAAGCTGACATTTTAAAAGCACCACTTTTTTCCTGCTGCAGCTGCTGAGTCAGGAAAATCTCTCTGCAGCACACCACCAGCAAACAGCAAAAAGCTGTGTTAAACTCTCTCTCTCTCAGGAAGTAGAGACAGGTGGAGCTCTGTGAGTTTGAGGCCAACCTGAGCTTTAGAGCAGTTCCAGGACAGGCACCACAGCTACACAGAGAAGCCCTCTCTCGAAAATAAATAAATAAATAAATAACACACACAAAAAAAGAAGCATGTTCTGTGGCCAAATAGTTCTTGCCACTCACAGGATGGAATGTTGTCTACTCTCTCTGAGCCCTTAGTAATACTTGTTAACTTGGAGTGTTATTATATGAGGCTTAAATGAGATAATACCAGCAAAATCATATTACCTTTACCTAAATTATAATCCATCTCAGCATAAACTATCATTATTTTAATTGCCCTGATAATTATTCATGTTATCCCTCCTCTTAACTGTTTGGTTGCTATGGAAGTGAACAGCTAAGATGCTGGTGTTTACTAAGATACATTCTCCACTGGGCTGAAAACGAGCAAAGGGTCTTGTCACATGTCTCCGTCCTTATGCTTATAATCACTTACAGAATGCTGTTTAGAAGCAATCCCAATATATAATTTCCTCTGTGTTACTTTGTATAAACAGTCTCAATACTTAATGTTCACTTACCGTGTTTTGTTTTCTTAACGATTTTGTGAAAACACAGGAACCATGTCTTATTCATCAGTGAGCTCCTTGGCAGCTCTTAGCAGAGTGCCTGGATGAAATGAGGGTTCACTAAGTGTTTGACTGAGTACACTGTTTACACATATTTGCATTGTAGTTTTGTTTGCTTGCTATTATTCTGTAGATCTGTAGTATTTTCCTTTTTTAGGATTCCCAGAAACTAAGGACGATGGAAAGAGAAAAGTACCACTTGCCAGGACCAACAGAAATATGCACTGTTCATATTAGTATAATGCATATATGAATATGTATAGGCATGAGCAGTAGAAGTGATCACTAACGATTCTCAGGCAACATTCTGGAATAAAGAACACGGTTTTATTGTCAAAATAATAAGAATGCTGTAAGGATCCTCAGGCCTGTGGTATTGCTCTGAGCCTTTCTTAGAGCTTCAAAGAGTTCTTTGGGGGTTGATCACAGGCTGAATGCATGACTGACTGTTCAGCACCATCCCGAGTCTTCGCAGCAGCTGTATGGTTCCAACTGGAGGGGAGAAACGTGGCTTGTCAAAAGATTTCAGGGGGCAAATCCTGGGCTGACTCACAGCTGGAGTCGGGTGTCTGACTTGAACATGGCAGAAGTACTCTACTGGGCTGGAAAACTCTGGGTAAAGAAAGCAGAGTCTAAAGTAAGATGTAGGCGTGATTCTCTAGAGGAAGAAAATCTGCTTTATTACGCATAAAAACTGTACAGAACGATTTACTAGATTAGAAGCTGGGTAGTCCAACATCGGCCATCTACACACCGGGAAAACAGACAACAGTGTTGTTCATCCCACAGATATGGATGCTTCGGCAGTTCTAATCCAGCCAGAAGATCCCAGGAGAGTCACTGGCATTGACTCCATGTTGGAAATCTGAAAAGGCCAGAAATGGTGGTCAACAAAGGACGACAGAAGCAGCCCCACAGATGTGAAGGCGGGAACATACCACACCTGCTGTTTCTTCCTTAGATGTCATTGTATCTGGGACACTTAGAAAATGCTCACTTTGGGGGTGGGTCTTACCCTGCCAGTTAATAATCTCTAGAGATGCCCTCACAGACAAGCCCGGAAGTGCATGTTCCACTTGGTTCTAAAGCCTATCAAGCGGGCAGTTGTTGAAATAGGAACGGCGGGGCTGCGTCCCCGGCACCCGGCCGCCTGCATTGCTAGGTTATGCCCCGAAATAATTACACGGAAACTGTATTCTTTCAAACACTGCCTGGCCCGGCTAGTTCCAGTTTCTTATTGGTTAGCTCTTACATATTGTTCTAATTCTAATTTCTAATATTCTGTGTAGCCCATTTCTAATATTCTGTGTAGCCCACGAGCTGGCTTACCAGGGAGGATCTTAACCTGCGTCTGTCTNATTCTGTGTAGCCCATTTCTAATATTCTGTGTAGCCCACGAGCTGGCTTACCAGGGAGGATCTTAACCTGCGTCTGTCTGGAGCGGGAGAATCATGGCGACTCCTACACTAAACTTCTTTCTCCCAGAATTCTCTTCTGTATACTCCGCCTACCTAATTTTCTATCCAATAAAATGGACCAAGGCAGTTTCTTTATTATAATTAACCAATGTCCTTCCTCCATCAGGCAGTTCATACCATCCATCCTCCCTCATCAACCTGACACCCAGACACTCACTCACTAAGTTAATCATTGTGTTATTATGGTAACTACCTGCTATGATACTTGGTGTAAAACAAACAAACAAACAAACAAATGATCAGGATCCTTGTAAACTGAGTTATGACACAGGACTGGAGAATAAACTGTTCTTGAGAGAAGAATGTGAAGGTGTTCTGCTCACCTTGCCAGGCAAAACCAAATTGCTCTGATGGACCTTATGGGTAAGTGTAGAGAACAAAGCATTTGTGAGATCAATAGCTGCAGATCAGGAGCCAGGAGATGTGTTCATCCATGGAAACAAGGCAACCCTCCTCTTGTACAGCAGCTACAGCTGAAGTCACCACCTGGTTAAACCTGAAGCAGTCAGCTTCCTTCTCCACGATCCATCCATCTTCTACAAGTTCAGTGGAGATGTGGTGAGAGCCATCAGCCCTGTATCTTTCAAATTATAATCCCTCCGGGAATATGATATTGCTGGGGTTCACTATTTTTCTGAGAAGCAAGTCAATGATTTCCATGGCCTTTTCAACCGTTACAGTCTTCACTTTGTGACTAAGGGGACCAGTGTGGGTGGGTGTTCTGTTAACTTCTCAATGTATCTATCCCCATTACACATAACAGGAATAACTATAGAATGATTTCAGGGACCCACTGGATCCACTGTGAGTCAGACAGGCTAAAACTCCTTTGAGACTTGATCTCCACAAGTCCCTACATTTACTGGCAGGGCCACATTGTTCTTTGGAATCTCCTGAAATCCATCATTCTTGAATTTGTTGGTAAGGCAATTGCACATCAGATGATAGGAGAATCTTCTGCCTCAGCAAAATTTCTGTGAGTTCAGTAGTGGGGAGCAGGCATCTAGCCCCACCTACCACCAATAAAAGATGCACAGTGCTTCGTGGAGTCTGAGGACAACTGAGCTCATCTTTGAACAGACCTGCAGCTGCCCTCTTGACTTGACAGTAGCTGGGATAAGCCCAGTGGTGGGCGCACTTTGGAGAGATGTTTATAACTAACCCTAGCAATCAAATTGCCTGCGGTGATAAACACTCAGGTAAGGAAGGCATGGATCCTTACTATGGATCACACTAGAGAAGGTAATGTCATTAGAACCCAGTTTTCACAAAGTCAGGAAATGCAAGGTGTGCTGACAGCCCTTGCTTTTGAAGGGACCTCAGAACCAGGCTATAGACTGAAAACCAGAACATGAGAAAGAGAAGGAGTTTTATATGTAGTCATTTGTTTTAATACATCCCCTATCCAACTGTGTGCCCATATTTGAATGCTGTTGGACACTCCCAAGCCCTTAAAACACCATTTCTATGCCTGGGCAAAGGGAGGATAATTTGTTACTTGAAAGCAGAGTCTTCGTCAGGTTTTCTCAGAGAACAAGAACTACTGTGAGCGTAGTACAGGAAAGGACTTCTTATAGGGTCTTACACGATGTGCAGTGAAGTCTGAGAAAAACAATTGCTTCTGTATCTGATTTCAGACTCGAGCCACTGTAGATCAGACAGAGTAGCAGGAAGGAAGGAAGCAGTGGTAATAAGACAGAGTGGGACCCACCGAGATGTGTGGAACTCACAAGGACACAAACTCACGAGAACACAAGACAAATGACTTCCAACCTCGACGGCAGGAGGACTTCCAGAAGAAGGCGATGCTCTCGACCACGAAGCTGCATATGCAAACAGTCCAGGCCTCGGAGACGTTTCAGGGAAAATGTCTTGAGAAAAAGAGAAGCTGGGAGCCAGTTAACTGCCCGCCACAGGCAAGCAGAGGTAGCAGGTCCCAGCGGCCACAGTGCTTGGCATAGAAACAACACTTCTGTATTCCAAATATCATCACAATCTCTCCAGTGGCCAGCCCTGATCCATCATCATACTGAGGAGTCATTTTGGTTCTTTATAGGTATATGGTAAAATGTCATCACAAAGTGCCAAATAACACAGGGCTGCCATCTCCTTGCAGAATTAACCCTTGCCAGTCTGATAGTTATGACGCACAGCCGATCCTCGATGATGAGAGAACAGCAACGCCTTGAGTGAAAGGACAATCTGATAAAATAGCCCTTTAGGACTTCTTATTCTTACATTTCCCCTTATCTTTTAAGCAGATCCCCTTAACTCCTACCTCCTCCGCCTTCATTTTTGAGACAGGCTATCTAGTCATAGGTTGACCTGGAAGACTTCTTGATCTTCCTGCTTCAGACTCTCTAGGTGATTGTAAACATAACTACCACACCCAGTTCTCTAGCAGAACAGAACTGGTAGGATGTGTGTAAGTCTATACGAAATTCATTAGATTGGCTTGCACAATAGGAGCTAGGAAGTTCAGTGATGGCCTCTGCATGCAGGCGAGACCAAGAACTTGCCCTCACTGACCCACCTAGAGTCACATCTCTTCACTGATTTTAAATCCGCTCTATTGTGGGAGCTCCTTCAGCTCCTTCAGCCAATAGCCAATGAGATACCAGCCCATTGGGGTGTGGTCTCTTTCCCTTTAAAAAAGCAGCCACTTCCTTTGGTTTGCTCTCTGGCTTCCGGTGACTAGGTTCCCTTCCTGGGATGGTGATCTGTAAGTTTTTCCCCCTTAAATAAATAACCATTCTATTAATCATAATTCCAAACTGGTGTGGGATTGTTTGTGACTTAAACCTTCACCTCTCAAGTTGACAATTAAGATAACAATCACATGCAGCTTATAGTGTACCTCCCATACTAGGATTTCTTTAAGGATCCTCACCCTAACCTCTGGAAGAGGCCCAGTAGGCCGCATGTCTTAATATATCAGAGGAAAGGAAGCTGAACCCTGGTAACTGGCTCCAAGCCTTTCCATAGAATAGCTGTAACCCAACAATTAATTAGCAAAATGGTCATGCTAATGATCTGCCATTTTACCCAATAGTATTCAGCGTGGAGCCTCACTAATAATTAAGATGGATTTCCTATTAGTTTGGCAGGGCAGAGACTCTGAAATACACTGAACATTAAGAAAAACTATAGAAATGCAATATTTCTGGCTCTCAAAAGTTTGTGGGTGTAGATTCAATTAAAAATACAATTTTTGTCTTTATTATCACCCAAGTCACACCAGAGTTTGCCTATGCCAGGATAATGCAACCACCCTGACTTGATGGTAATGTTCTAAGAAGACCCTTCTCTTTCCTCTTTGGTTCCAGGACTATTGAAACAAGGGCCCCAAAGAAACTGGAATCTCCCAGGCATGGCGCGCCTGAAGAAGGAAAGCTCTGAGGCCTAATGCCAGCCACAGTGGAAACATGTCCGCTGGAGAGAGGCTTCACCCTGTTCTCACAGTCTGTCAGGCCACCTTGCAGAAGAGCGTGAAGCCTAGACAATGGCTGGGACCACACCTTGACGGGGACTGCTGCTCAGCTCTGCACATTCTTAATCTCTGTTCAGACTTAAAACTCACGTCAGGACCCTGCAGACAGTCCTGCAGAGTTTCACTGGCTCTCTTCTTTCTTCCCGGTGTGACCACAGGGGATCATCACCACCTCTTCCTCCTCTAAAACACTGACTATATCACTCCCCACTCCAAATCCTTCTGTGTGCCCCATGCATTACTGCTCAAATTCATGGCCTCTTTTCTTTTGGTTATTATTGTTACATATATATGCGAATCAACATATAAATGCACCCTCTGAGTTTGTTTAGTAGTGCTTATGTGTGTACTTTTAGGGCTGACTTCCAATGCTGGATCACCATTTGGGGGGGCTCATCTTTGAGGAAGGCTGATTTCCCACCTCTCAGCAGTTTTAATGTCTGTAGCTCTTAAACTGGGCATCTACAAATAGAAGAATGACACTAGACACCCTATCTGTCGCTCTGCCCCAAACCCATCTCCAGACAGAAGATCCCAGTATGAAATCTGAAATGCTAAAATTGCTAGGAGAAAATATAGGCAACACACAGCAAGATACAGCTGCTGGAAAGGGCTTTCTGTCTGACTCCATTTGTCCAGATATTAAGGTCTACAATTGATAGGTGAGATCTCATAAAAATCATATTTTTTAAAATGGTCTATTGGGGAAGGGTGGACAAGCCTAGCTTGTTAGGGTTAGCAGGACCAAGGCTTTGTCCTAATAACCCTGGTAATAGTAACTCTTGCCTCAGTGAAGGACTGACCCGGACTAAGCTGCAGAGCAAAGACATTTGTGTCTATGCTGAGGAAAGCTGGAAAAGGCAGGCTGGAGGCACCTCACTTTCAAAAGACAAGGTC